CATTGCATCCTGATTTTTCCAAGCCCATTCCCTTGGCTGTGGTTTCGCTAGATAATAGATAGGGACAGTGGGAATCTCGTTAATAGAGGGTCATAGTAGAGGGGTGTGCTTGTTTCACTTGTATTTTCAGTTGTGGACTGTCCAAGGCATCTACAAACTTATCCCTCAGCAACAACTTGAGGAAATCGGGTGGTGCAGTTAGGTAGGCCTTGTGTGCCATACTTTCAAAATCCTGTGCCAGCTCTTGCAGGTTCTCCTCTTTAGCACGGACTCTCGTCCTGAACTTAGTGCTGTAGACTTCTGACTGATTTTGAGTTCCATACCTGAGTTCTAGAGCCACTACCAGTGCTCTATAGTTGTGCCTGTCATCTGCTGACAACTGTCCAAGTATTTCCAATGGTTGTCCCTTCAAACTCGTTGCCAGATATACTGCTTTCTGCTTCTCTGTCTACCCATTTATTTCTGCCAGTAGCTCAAATTGTGCTCTATATGCTTCCCACGGTGCCTTCCCATCGAATTCCTGTGGCTTCCTTCGTACTGGATCACCCATATTGCTGACATTCATATCTTGGATGTGACTTCTAACAGGACTGAAGATGTCTGCATTAGGGTTTAGCTGCGGGGTCTGGAAGGGACTTCCCATTATCTGGTGCTGATTAAGTCGATGGTTAATGTATCCTCCTTGTGTAAAAGACAATAGATCATCCTTTAATGCATTTAATTAGCTTTAAAATTTACTAATGTTTTCCATTTGTACTTCTTGTTTTCTTTCTTGTTCCAGTTGCCACTGTTGTAGTCTCTCGTCTTGTTTCTTTTCTCGTTCTTCTTGTTTTTTCTTTTTCCTCCAACAACTGCTGTAATTTCTCTTCTTGTTTCTTTTGCTGTTCGAGCTGCCACTGTTGCAAGTTTTCTTGCCACTGCTGTAATCTCTCTTCTTGTTTATTTTGCTGTTCGAGCTGCCACTGTTGCAGGTTTTCTTGCAACTGTTGTTGTCTCTCTTCTTGTTTCTTTTCTTTTTCCTCCAACAACTGCTGTAATCTCTTTTCTTGTTTCTTTTCTCGTTCTCCTTGTTTCTTTTCTTGTTCTTCTTGTTTCTGTTGTGTCAGCGAGGTCACGTGACTAGAATTCCGCCACTTCTTTCTCGAACCTTCCTGAGATTACTGGTATATATAAGATGGTGACAACGTGACGGGACAATGGTGCAAAGTTTACCATTAGGACAGACCATGCTGCGTTACGCTGGTTAAGATCATTAAAGAACCCAGAGGGAC